GTTGTAAGGGCAACAGGCCAAAGATGGCCTCAAGGCATTTGCTAGGAGCAGTATGCATAGCTATCCAGTTTTTACCATGTTCCAGCATTTGTAATTATGCTTCCCCCTCCCCCACATCTCACACAGAGCAGCAGTGTGGAGGCTGGGAGGGATTGGAGGAGGATTAATATATGGTACAAAGATACAGCTGTTGGCCCCATCGTGTTCTATATTGCCATCCAAGACCTGCAGATCTCCCTCCATGTCCCCAAATGTCAAAGATGACAGCTGTACCAGCTGGAAGAATTCAGTGAGAGCTAGAATGTCTCCAGGACCCCAGGCATGATAGTCAGCTGGATCAGAGCTAGGCTGTTATTTGGGAACCACACTCACTTTCAAGCTTTTCAAGCATTAGGGTTAGGGTTAGGGTTAGGGCTTCCTCAGGTCCTTTCACATGGCAGAAGCAGTCAAGCAAGAAAGAGCTTCTGCTATTGCAGGTGAAATATATTTAAAAAATTATATAGCTCTAAGTATTAACAACACACACACACACACACACACAAAGCTAGAAGAGTAGAATGCTGATACATTTTAAGTACAATGATGAAAATTTGGGTTTGTATTCCTTCCATACTTTTGTATTAAGAGCTTGTTTAATGCAAAACATTGCTTGTGATAAGGATCACTGTCTGGGCTGTTAAATGGAGTGACCATTAGAGGGTGCTACAGGGTAGCATTTGGAGGAACAACAAAAATGAAAGATTCCAGCTTGTCAGCGGGACCCTGGGAAGTGAGCCCGGGAGGGTCATATTCATTAGCACATCCCTGGAGGTTTGCAAGCATGTTTTCGGCAGGTCTGCTTGGCCTGCTGAGGAATATGACCGGCTGCAGGGGCAGAGCTGTTAAGAGTAGGCAGGTGCGAGGTTATGTTGGCACCTAAGTGTGACATCTTAGAATCCCTGGGCACCAGGTGAAGCTGTCAGAGCTGACAGCTTCCATAGCCATTCTGCCAGAACTGGGAGTCCATCTGAGCTTCCATGCTGTTCCCAGTGCTGAGAAGAATTTTCAATACGTCCTTTGAGACATATTCAGCACTTTCAGGAAAATTTTACTATAGCAACTGATTGGGATAGACCAGGCAAAACACTGTCTCTTATTCAAAATGCTTGGGGATGGACATGCTTCTGATTTTTTTCTTTACAATTCGGGATGTTTTTACAGAGTACATAATGAGTTGTCTCAGGGATCCAAGTCTGAACACAGAGTTCATTTAAGTTTTGTATGCACTCTTGAAGCATAGGGTAGAGGTAATTTTATGCAGTATTTTAAAAGTGCAACCCATCTTAGGAGCTCCAGTGTGGAATGTCACACTTGTGCCCTGTCAGTCCTCAAACGGTTTCAGGTGTTGGAACAGTTCAGATTTCAAACCAGAGATATGCGACCTGTATAATGACATCAAAGTACTCATCTCATGCACTCTAATCCTCTCCTGAGAGCAGAGCCCCTACGGCGGGCTTTGTAGATTTCCTTGCACTCACAGAAGATGGCTCTCAAGAATTTCCACAAGGTGCTTCTCGACATTAACTCTCTACATTTTCACAACGACCTTACAAAGAAGTAGCATTTGTCATTCCGAAGTGGAGAGAGCCAAGACTCAGGACAAAGAACCAAAGCATGTAGGCAGGGGACAGCACACACAACGAGGTTGCTGTTGCCATCACAGACAACGGCAGACATATGGAAAGAGAGGGCAGGGACCTGGTTAGGTTCCCAGAGGTACAGGTGGTATTTCTGCTGGCCAGCAATCTTCATTCCACCATACTTTGCCATGCAATACACTATGGCAGGGGTTCTCAACCTGTGGGTCGAACCCGCCCCAACAGGGGTCACACATCAGATATCTTGAATATCAGATATTTATTTACATTATGATTCATAACAATAGCAAAATCACAGTTACGAAGTAGCAGTGAAATGATGCTATGGTTGGGGGTCACCACAACATGAAGGCCTGTATTAAAGTGTCACAACATTAGGAAGGTTGAGAACTGCACTAGGGACTGCAAGAGTTGTGTGCTCTTATTATAATTGAATGCACAAAAATAGACTCTGTTTGTGGCTGGCTGCAGTTAGCATGCTTTCTTGTGGCTGCCCTCCTCCCACATAGGGACATTTTCCCCGTGGGAACAGTATGTCTAATTTCCCACAGGAGTGACATGGGTGCCACTGCTCCTTAGTCCCTGAATCTTGAGATAGCCCCGCCATTGGAGGCTATCAGGCATTTGCCTCTGCCTTTCCAGTGACCACCCCATCCATGTCTGACCAATAGGTTCCATATGCTAACGGCAAACCACACACAACACCGATGAGCTGTGGAAGCCAACAATGACATCAGAAGATTCTGCTTGTGTACTTCCCAACCATGCCACCCCACCACACCTTTTCTCCTGGAGCTTATTTAGAGGAAGATGGGTGATCAGAAATGGCCACACATGTGGCATGGATGGTGAAATCCCACGGATTGTTTTAGAGGCCTGTCTGGAGTTGATAGTTATGATTTATGGAAAAATCAATGAAAATCATGTTCACTGTCTGTCTTGTTGACTGACATGTCAGGCCTGGGCAGCCCCAGCGGTGGCGGTGGGGTCTGATGGAGACGCCTACACATCACATGCTACCCCTGCCGAGCTTGTAACTGAAGAGCCCTGTGCATGCTATGGAGGAATACAACTGGCAGTCAGCAAGGAGGTTTTCTGGGGCAGGGAGCTATAAAACTATGTAAGTGGACCCTTACTTGCTATGGTACTGTAAGGTTCAACTTGTAAAACACAAGACAAAATTTCAAAGGATCTCTTGGGACCCTGGGATGTGTTTACCCATAGGAAATGAACATTAAGACTTTAGTGTGACTCTGAGGAGGCCATGTGGAAAGATGACTCATAAGCTGGCAGTGTCACAGTGTAACTGTGGTCACCCAGCTCAGCAAACACCCTACTTCCTTTTTTTTTCTAACGAAGACTTGACAGTCCACGAAAAATCTGCATCCTACCAAAGGCAAACCACTCCTGTGAAACAAATGCCCCATGCTCACCATGGTGAGGCATGCCTCCCAGACACATCAAAAATGCATTTGTAACTTTTCTAGTTCGTGCAGGGATGGACTGTAGATACATGTCACTCTTCATTGACACCAATATGACCAGTCCAGAAAGATGGGAAATCTAAATTGGTCATTCATTGCTAGGGTGAAAGTTTTTAGCTGGAGAGGAGGCTGGGGTTATTTTGTAAAAAATGAATGTTTTTCAGTTATCTATGCATCATGTTGTTGCTTAAAACAATGGGTCACTAAGTGACTCTGTGCGAAAGCTTAAGCAAAAAAGAAAAAAGATGAGTGGGTTGATCCACTAGAGGTCAGGGAGGGGATAGAAGGGCAAAGAATTGCCCTACAATGCAGCTCAGGTGATTAAGGAAGAAGTCCATGGGCCTTGAGCAATTTAACGTCCTGCTGTTTTGTCTTCTAAACTAGCTAGAGTTTTAGGCACTATACTCTCCTATTTGGGAGGCGTTGATACCATGTTACCACTTGCTATATACACATGCCAGAGGACCCTGGTGTGGAGTGCAGAACGCTCACCCCTCCTTAGGACCTGGGTGTGGCTGATCCTCCTAAACCTCCTACTGACAAAGTGGGGCCTTGAGGAAGAATCTGTCTGTCTTACGGGAATGGATTAGCTCCTGAGAGAGCAGGTGGGCATTAGACATTTCAGTTGTTTGCCCTGCCCCTCCCTTCCTCTTGCTTGCTTGACCTGTGTGGTAGTTTGAATGTCCTTGGCTCCTGTAAGCTCACAGGGATGGCACTATTAGAAGATGTGGCTTTGTTGGAGTGGATTTGGCCTTGTTGGAGGACATGTGTCATTTTGGGAGCAGGGTTTGAGGTTTCCTATGCTCAGGATACTGTTCAGTGTCCAGTGGACTTCCTGTGCCTGCAAGGCAAGATGTAGCCAACACACTGGCCTGCATACCGCCATGTTCCCTGCCATGATGAAAATGGCTAAACCTCTGAAACTGTAAGTGAGCCACCACAATGGAATGTTTTCTTTGTAAGAGTTGCTGTGGCCATGGCGTCTTTTCATAGCAGTAGAAACCCAAGACACTCTGCTCCCTCTCTTCCTCTCCTCTGCATGTATGCTTGCCCTGCTGCTGTACACCATGAGGTGAAGCAGTCTGAGGCCCGCACCAGAAGCCCAGCAGGTGCTAGAGCCATGCTCTCAGGCATTCAGCCTCTAGAACTGTGAGGTAAAATAAACTTATTTTTTCTAAATAAACTACCCATTCTTAGACATTTTATTACAGCAGCAGCAGCAAAAAAAAAAAAAAAAAAAAAAAAAACAAAAACAAAAAACAAAAAAACAAAACAACAACAACAACAACAACAACAAAAAAAAAACAATGGGCATCATATTCAAATCTCTAAAATAAATGCTCATTTTCACCCTTAAGCACATCTTGGCATCCGGATGACCCCAGACATCTGGTGACAAGAAATGGGCATTCTGCATTTCTAGAGAAACAGTGTTCAGCGGAGATCCTTCTCTAGCCCATGCTGTTGGGCTTAGAGGAGCGTGACCCTCAGGCCTGCCCAGTGCATTTATCACCAGCAGCCAAGGGAGATGACCCCGAGGTCCTGTCTCCTTGTGGCCTCAGTCAAAACACCAGAATGTGCCCATGTCCTTTTGGAAATGCAAAGAAGCAGCATACACTTTCTTTTTCAAACATTTCCTCTTTGGGCCCTTTGTATGTATCCTTTTCTTTCTTTGTTGCCCACTTTTCTCTTTTGTAACTAAGGTTGTTTAGTTTCTTTGACCAGTTTTGGGCTCCTAGAATATTCTAGAATGCTGCAGGAGATTTCATATGACAACTCTATCCCCACACCCTAACAATTCACACACTTCCAATGATCATTGTTTTAGCTCCAGCACCCAAGTAGGTAAGAACTTTAGCATTCACAGCCATGGTCTCACCTTTGCAAAGAAATGCTGAGTGGACACAGCCAGGACGTCGAAGCCACGGATGGCCCTCTTCAGCTCCCCTCGAGCCAGGCCCAGCTGCCTGGCCTGCCACTCACACCTGTCCCTTAGTCGCTGGGCCAGCTGCCGCTCTGCCTCTCGGGCCTGTAGGTCAGGCTTGGGTGTGATCCCATTTCGAGAAGCAGTGGTCCTCTGTTTTGGGTACCCTACGAAGACAGAAAACAGTCACTTGTGCTATTCCATTCAACTGCAGCCTCTCACAGGAGCTCCCCAGACCCACGAGGAGAGGAAGGAACTCCCCTTGGGTTGTCATTTCAAGTATTAAACAGACAAAACAGGCTGGGACTCATATCATTTAGTCTGTTTACTGGTTTTAAATGTCAAGTTCATGCTTAGAAAACAGTAACTAACACACCACCAAATTTCTTTTGGCTTTCATTTCTTTAGGCCTACTTGGAGAGAATGAAGCAGGAAATCTATCTATGTATCTATGTATCTATCTATCTATGTAGCTATCTATCTATGTATCTATCATCTATCTATCTTTTTTCTTCTTCCTTCCTTTCTTGTTTCTTAGAGTGGATTTTTAATAACTTTATAAACTTTATTAGAAAAGCCTTGCAAATAAATAAAAGCATCAAACAGCAAAACCAGCCAGATCCACAGTCTATAACACATAATGAACTTAGAATTGGCATTCTGAGACAGGAGCTATGGGGCTTCACATTACATTTTACATTGTCTGTATTGAATCTATTTTATGTACCTACTGCCCTTAGACAAATGTCTACTGGGAAATGAATCCAGCATCAATTCGGGTAGAAGGCAGGATTCTGAGAATGTAGCGGCTCCTTCATTAGGACCAGAGAGTAAAGCTGCAAGTCCCTTTCTTCCCTGTACATGGCCCCTCTAGTGACCCTATTCTTCAATGTCAAGGTCGGGTGATAACATCTATTCAGGGGTGGAGTGGGAGCTTAGTTCCTACTGTGCTAATGTTTTAGGAGTCCCCCCAGTAACGCGGTTAAATAAGGATCAGGATAAACAAATAGTCCGAATAGATGTTTATTCAGGGAGAAATAACTTACAACCTAGACAGATGAACACCAGGAAATTCAACCCGATCCTCTCCTGTCCGAGTCACGCCAAAAAGAGAGCGCCTTTCCTAGCCCCCTCCGACCTCCTTCCACAGGTCACTCCGCCCATGGCTCCACCCCCAATGGGCGTGGTCAGTGCCACAGACGGACCATCTCACTACACCCCAGGGTTTCTCTGTGTAACAACTTTGGTTGTCCTGGAACTCCAGGCTGGCCTTGAACTCACAGAGATCCACCTGTCCCTGCACAACTGGCACCCACATAAATCTTTTAAAAACCTATATCATGTGTATGGCTGTTTTGCTCGCATGTATATATGTGCACCCCATGTTTGCAGTGCTCATACAGGCTAGAGAGGACATCTAACCCTCTGGAACTGAAATTACAGATGGCTGTGAGCCACCATGTGGGTGCTGGAAGTCCAATCCAGGTCTTCTGCAAGGGCAACAAGTGCTCTTAAGTTCTGAGCCATTTCTCCAACCCCAGCACCTACCATATTTAAAAGTATTATTATTATTATTATTATTATTATTATTATTATTATTGTCTTAGTTGGGGTTACTATTGCTGTGATGAAACATCATAGCTAAAAAGCAAGTTGGGGAGGAAAGGGTTTATTTGACTTATACTTCTCTAACACAGTTCATCATTAGAGGAAGTCAGGATAGGAACTCAAGGCAGGAACCTGGGGGCAAATGCTAATGCAGAGGCCATGGAGGGATGCTACCTACTGGCTTGCTCCTCATGGCTTGCTCAAGCCACCTTTTTATAGAACACAGGACCACCAAGCCAGGGATGGCACCAACCATCATGGACTGGGCCTTCCCCCATCAATCATTAATTAAGAAAATGTTTTACAGCTGGATCTTATGGAGACATTCTCTCAAGTGAGGCTCCCTCCTCTCCAGTGACTATAGCTTGTGTCAAGTTGACATAAAACTAGCCAGCGCTGCTATCATTACGTTAAAAAAGTTAATGCTACCATTGAAAGTTACTTTTAAACTGTTACTATTACTACATTGCTTTAATTCCTGTACTCACATTCCTTGTATTCAATTGAATGCATGCAGTCAGCTCATATTTCTCCTCTAGGGGTCACCCAGCGACTGACATCTTTGGCCAAGTCAGAGCTCTCCTGAGAACTTTACCTTTTGGAACCAACACAGTAAGCTTAACTGCTTTGTGACACTAAGTGACCCAGTGAAACAGCCCTTGTTTAGAACTCCTTGTTGGCTGTACCATAATTCTCAATCACTGTCAAGGCCTGACTGAAGCCCAGTCCCCAGAGTTTCCCCATCAGAAGGGAAACACTGAGAATTGAGGCTGGCTACAGCATTCTCTGTGTTTTCCTTTGGAAAGGGTTTGTGATCAAGAATCTCAATGGTGACCATGTCCAGAGAAATTTACAATTTCATCAATATTGAGCAAGGGTCCTTACCTCTAAATACAAACACTGACTTGCCGTGTTCTACACATATATGATTTTATATGCTAGGATTTTTAAGGTCCCAAAGACTTAATTCTTGTTATTGAATGTTTTCTCTGTGTATCCTGCAAGGTCCAATGGGTGATCAAGGAATCAGGCTCACCCTTGGCCTTCAGCCAACCACTTGTCCCAGAGGGACCAATCCAGGGAAGCATCCCAGGTCTTCTGGCTCCTCTCTGCCCAGGGTGCTTCCCATTTCCTCATACATGGAGCTAGTCTGTGTCTCCAGCACATCTCACAGGGTTAGCAGCTTGCCCTAAATCTAGACTACATTCCCATCATCCAAATCCCACCCCAGCCACAGTTTCTTTCAAGCTATCCTACCAGCTGCATAAATCAGGTTAGGGCAGAAGGAATCTGTGCTGACCACAATGACATGTGACAGCTTGGCCCCAGGGGAAGCCAGTAACTGGACATCAACATAAAGGTGAATGTCAACAGCTGCTTGCGTGCAAAGGCTGGGCTTCCAACAGTTTGCGTGCAAAGGCTAAGCACTGGGGAGGACACGGCGTTTGAAAATGGAAAACAAATATTAAAAATTCATTTGCAGCATCCAGTCACTACCCGGAGGAGAGACATAGTCCAAACAGGGTGATTTAATTGAATCTGGAAAGCTTATCAGACATAGCAACAGAGCTGTGCTGGCATCTGCACATTGATAATATGACAGAGGGCCAGGACCTTCACACTCGTAAACAAGGTGGAAGCAAGGACTGGACACAGCTTTGATAGCTTCTCAGCTGAAGGGAAAGTCCTCCGTGAACTTGGTCATTGTTCTAGCAGAGCTATATCCCAAGGACATGTGAGGAGTTCTTTGTGGACTTAAGAAGAGCTTTATTTTCATGAACTTTAACACAGTTCAGAAGGCTTTTCAAGATAGAACACTATTTTCCTACTTAGCATTGTTAGTTGTTTACCAGGAGTTGTCTAGTGTGCTGGGTTTTGGTCATCTTGACCCAAACTAGAGTAACCTGGGAGCAAGGGAAGCTTGTTTGAGGAATTGCCTTCATCTGATTGACCTGTGGTGATCACGCCTGTGGGTTATTTTACTGTCATTTTGCCTGAATTTAATTATAATCACCCTTGACTTCTGAGGAAGAGCGAGGGGCTGGGGTTGAGAGAATAATCAATTATACCTATATGTTGAAGTTTCTAGGCATCCCTAAACTGCGGGGCCTAGAGAGTTTCTTGCCTGGTCAGACAAAATTATAGAGCATTCTCTAAAGCCACGGGGACAGATGTTGTCACAGGGGGAACTTTCTGGCTTCGGTTCTAAGGACACTTCACCAGGATGCTCATCTGTGTCCTGTGTCTGATCCTTTGTAACTCACTGGTAAGTGGAAGGAGGAGCTTCCCTGAGAGCCATGAGTAGGCCCAGTGAGCATTGGCGAGGAGGTGGGGCTAAAACCCTGACACATTGCCTCTGGAAATGCAAATGGAAAATTCCTTTAGCAAACAACTCAGCACAGTTTAAAGAAGTGTAGTCAGATTTTTTCTTTGGACTGACAGCTCACAAAAAAACATGAAAGCCTGGCCTAGCTTAGGTTTGTTCTTACCTAGCTCTCATAACTTAAATTAACCCATATCTTTTAATCTCAATTTTTTAAATGTGGCTCAGTTACATTTACTCTGTGCTACAATCCTGCTTCCTCTCTATCTAGTGACCCCACCTTCTGCCCAGTGGTCTCTCCTTGCCTGGAAGTCCCGCCTATCTCTCCTGCTAGCTATTGGACATTCAGTTTTTTATTACGCAGTCGCAGCAATACATCTTCGCAGGGTACAGATATCTCACAACAGTTAAGCATATCATTACTACATGAACCATACACCCAGTGTCTTAGAGTTTCTACTGCTGTGAAGAGACACCAAGACCACGGCAACTCTTAGAAAGGCAAACATTTAATTGGATGTCATATAGTTTCAGAGGTTCAGTCCATTATCATCATGGTGGGATATGACTGCACAAAGGCAGACAAGGTGCCAGAGAAGGGGCAGACAGGTCTACAACTTGATCCACAGGCTGCAGAAAGTGAAGACTGTCACACTGGGCATGGCTTGAACATATGAGACCTCAAAGCCTGCTCCCACAGTGGCACACTTCCTCCAACAAGGCCACACCTCCTATAGTTCTATTCTCTATGGTCTACTGCTGCTGCTGCTGTTGGGCAGGTTTAGGAGGTGTGGCCTTGCTGGATGATGTCTTCACTGGGGGTTGGCTTGAGGTTTTAAAACCTCCCACCCTTCCCAGTGAGTCTTCTCTAAGCTTCCTGCTTACAGTAGAGCTTGTGAGCTCCTGGCTTTGTGCTGAAGCCACCATGCTGGCTGCTTGCTGTCCTTAAGCCCTGATAAATTCCTTCTACTAGAAATTGGCTTGGTTACCACCAAGTCCTTGCACAACCTCCAAGGATTTGGACCTGATTTGGGTGGCAAGGAAATGAAGAACAGACAGAAAGATGAATACACAGACAAAGAGTTGGGATTGGGTGGTCTAGGCTCATGGCTGGAGAAAACCGAAGTATCCCACAAGTACATTGTGTTTATTATATAGAGAGGTGGGGGTTATTACATCATCTGAACAAGGAGGTAGAGTTATTACATCATCTGAAGGCAGGGTTAGCTAATCCCAGCAAGAGCAATCTCAGTAGCGGAGCAGTCTTCAGGCTGTGAACGTCTAGAGGGAGAAAACTACGGTGGCAATTTCTTTACACAATCTCCCTCTGAGACTGAGGCACTGGGCCTTTGATACTCTGTGCCCATGTCAAAAGAACACACTTACACAGGACTTCACACCCTCAGGGCTTCCTCTGCTGCCTACAGGTCATGCTGTTTTATCACAGCATTGGAAAAGTAACTAAAACATTAGGGAAGCGGTTATTAAAGAAGACAGTAAAATGGTAATGTATTACATGATTCCACATATATGAAACTTTAGAAAACACAAAACTACTGTGACTGAATAGACCAGAGATAGAGTGTGGTAGGCTGGGCACATGCACCTGACAAGATCACCAAGCCATTTTGGGAGATATCATCCAAAGCTAGATATCATTACTTTCAACTTCTGTTTTACTTCCTTTTATGAAACACAACTTGAAGTCTAACTTCAAAATGTAGTCGTTTTTCCCAACTGAATCAATTTTACATGTTCTCATAAGAACACATATTCCTTTGCAAAGAAATCCTCCCATATATACGTGGCATAACATTTTGTTTTTATAAACAAAATTTGTGTCTGGTCTCAAATGAGGAAAACCGAGCCTGTATGTCAGGCTGACATGCGCACATTGATGGCCATTTGAACGAACTCAGGAGCAAACTCAGACCTCTCAAAACACCCCCGACCATGTGTGTAAGTACCTGGTGAGTGAAGCTTGGTGGAGGAAGCTGCTGTTCTCTTGGGAGATGACACAGAAGGTTTGTTAGCATCTGGGTCTTTCTGTGATTCTTTCTTCGTCCCTACACAGTTTGTAAAGAGGAACAGAAAGAGAGAGGAGTGGTTATGTGAGGCGCCATAACACAAGCTGCTGTGGAAAAGGCAGCGCAATAAAAGGCAAACGGAACAACAAGCAAGTCGTTGGATAATTTGTTACAGCCAATGCCCCTGCCCCTTAGTCTGGGAGAATGACACACTTATTTATAACAAAGGGAATTTAGTTCTAAGTGTCACCTGAAATGCGTCCAGTTGTCCCTGGTTTGATAAGAACACCTTTTACTCTGGTGGGCCCAGTACCCAATGACCTCACAAGACATCTAGAAAATGAAATTTTATTGTACTTAGGCACCAAGTTGGTATCCTGGAGACAGGGAAGGACAGAGTAGACAAAAATACCTACTGAGCCACGGGGGACCTCATCTGGCTCTAATTCATTTCCAGAGGTGACCTAGAGATCACTGACCCCCTCGATTGTAGCTGAGCCTTCCTGGAACTATCCAGCTCTTCTGGCAGGATGGATGGCCTGGGCATGGGTGTGATCTAGCGGCATGTGTAGACACCCCAGGAGATGACTGGGGGTCAGAGTGCCTTCTCTCCGCAAGCTGAAGTCTGCTCATGCTCAGTGTTGCTGGGTAGACAGCCATTGTCCACTACATGTCCACTCATTCCTGCTCCCTTGGGACAGTATATGTGTCACTTTCTCCAGGCCCATGCCCTGCTGGTGCAGGTGTGCAATTACTGACAGACACCTAAGGTCTTTGCACAGCAATCATTGTGTGTCTTTGTTTAACAGTGATCTAATTGCAAGCATGTGCATGGACAGGTACTGTGCCCATTTTTCTCCCCAGTGCGTACTCTTCATTTACTTTGCAGAGCAGCCCTTCCCCTGATATTTAAATTATGTTTTGCTGATTCTCCCTCTTCAAACACTTTAATGCCATCTTTCATTGCCTGTAGATATAGGTTTTAACATGTCTAAATATATCTACTCCCCCACCCCTTTTCAGCTCTGAAGTCTTGAGAACCTTATGAAAGGTTTATATAATGTGTGCCTACACTATGAAGATCTACTATGGCTGCAGGGGGCTGTGTCTCAGAGTCCTTAAAAGCCCACCCACTATCCGTTCTCCTGAACTCACAGGCAACAAACACAGGGTTAACCTCACCCTTCCATCCCTACCCTCTGCTTTTATTCTAGATCAACAAACAGGGAAAGAGACCAAGACTCCTGGGAATTAAGCAGGGAAACAGTAGTTGCCTCCAAAGTCACCTAACATGTTTCCTGCTTTATAGTCACAGTATTCATGAATATTTAGTTAGCCTGAACAGCGATTTCCATTGGACTCTCATGGAGCACAGTCTACAGGGCCAACTGGAAATTTAAGGACTGATAATGTTGACTCTTGAAATTCCACTCCTACAAACCTCACTGTGGATGGTGGTACTCCAGGCGTGCCAAATATGTGCTCAAAGACAGTACATAATTTACAACAAAAAGATATGTGCATATAAGCAAAATTCTCATTGACGAATACCTAAACAAAGATATATATGTTCAAGCCATGGAGTACCATGCTGTTATTAAAAAGAATGAACTGGCTCCATATGGTACTGACATATGTAAATTAAGTTACTGACACAGTAAATTAAAATGTTAGTTGTTGAATAGGATTCAATGTATTGTCTCATGTAATCACAAAAAGTAGCATGTGTATTAGGCAATTAGACGCTGAGTTATAAGCGGTAGGATTGAATGGCTTGACTATTTTTTGATGAATTTGTACTGTTTCCATTTCAAGGCAATAGTAAAATTAGAGAGATCAACCTCAAGTCTGTGTGGTGCGTGGAACGACAGGAGGGCCTGGCGACCTGGCCCCAGACTGTGCTAGACTGAGGCTCCACCTGTCCCAGGTCTGCCTGACTGTCCTGTAGTCAGTTCTTTTCTCCTTTCCTAGGCCTCTGTTTCCATTGCCTCTATAACAAACAACCTCCCCCAGGCCTCTCTCAGCAGAGTGACGTGGGTGAGGGCCCACATTCCCTCTATGCTGTAGTTTGGGTATGAAGTGGCCCCCGGAGGCTCCTGGTGCCTGAACACTAGATCTTCAGCTGGTGTCATTGTTTTGGAAGGCTCTGTCACTTTTAGGAGGCAGGGCCAGGCTGAAGGAGGCTGGCTGCTAAGGGTGGACCTCACAGGTTCCAGCCTGGCCCTCTGCTGGTCCCAACTTTTGTATGCAAGGCTCGTGTGTGTGTTCTAGGTTTCCGTGGCTTCTTGTTTCGTGGCCAGTTTCTTTAATGGCTTCGTTTTGTGGCCAGCTTCTCTACTTCGGCAGAAGACTAAATTTTTTTTTTCTGTTTTAATTCGCATTGCTCAAAATTTCTTCCAGTCAAACATTTGCTTTAATTCAAAATTTTAATGTGGTAATCATTTGACTCTGAAATGCAAAGGGATTTCTCTTTTGGATTCCTGAGCTGCTAACAACAGCATGATGCTATGATAAATCTCAGGCTTTTGTGGGCAATCCATTTTAGTCTCTAGCAAAACTCTTAGTACCTCTTATTCTCACTCTAGTGAGTCTGGTTTCCTTTTTAAAAAAATTATATTTGGTATCTGGTAGACAACTTTAATCCACATCTCATGGTTCTGAGGCATTTTCTTGATATGGATATGTTGGTTTCTTTCCCTCTGATTTCTCATTTTATAGATGTCCTACTATTTGGGCTCTGACACGTAGATAATGTCTTACTTCGGATAGCGTCCATGTGCCCAGGCACACCCAATATTGCCCCGTTAAACTCAGTGTCACTTAAACCTTCTCCCTTTCCCCCTCCCTGCTCAGTGGGTGTTCCCTTTGCCTTCACCAGAGACACGGAACCCAGCTCTCTCTTCTCCTTTCTCATTTCTTCACACTCAGTAGAACACTATCCCTAAGATACACACATTTCCTGTCTCTCTACAGCTAGTCCACTCACTGTCATTTCCAAACTCAGACTACAGCAGCCTCCCCTCTCTGCTTGCCTCTGGCTGAATCCTGCCTCAAACCCCAGCATGGGGGACTCACGGTACTCCCACCAACCTCTGGTCCTCTTCCACATTGTATGACAGTTGAGGGTGTTGCTTACCCACCCATAGGTCCCATTAGACAACACGTTCCCTATGAATCACCTACTCACTAAGTATTTATAAGTAAAATGAGTTGGTTATCTTTGCTAAATAACCATGTTTCTTCTCTCTGTAGAAAATAAAACCAACCTTGAGATGGGGTGATCCCTGGCTTTTGGAGACCTTCTTGAGTTAGTTAGCATTTTGTCAACTTGACACACACTAGGGTCATTAGGAAGTGGGAACCCATTGGAGAAATTGCCTCCATCAGATTTGCCCCACCCCAGGCAGGTGGTCCTGGAAGCTGTGGGAAAGCAGGCTGCGCGAGACATGGGGCACAAGCTTACAACATTCATCTATGGTCCCTGCTTCAGTTCCTGCCTCCAGGTTCCTGCCTTGACTTCCTGCCCTGACTTCCCCCAGTGATGGTGCGTGGCCTGCAGGCTGCATTCAACCTTTGCTCTCCAAGCTGCTTTTGGTCATGGAGCTTTATCACGGCAGCAGAAGCCCAAGACACCATTCTTATTCTCTCCTTTTCATTCCCTGTCCATCCTCTCTCTCCGATTCATAATGAACAGGACTTTTCTGAGTGGGTACTGAGAAATCATTGTACACTCTCAAACCAAATGGAGAGCATGGCTTTGTGGGAAGAAAATACACCAGCTCCCCTGGGGATTCAAGACACTGCCTGGTCTATTAAGTCCAAGAAAATGTGTTTAAACGAGCAGGGGTGGGGAAATTACGTGCATTTTTTACACCAACACAAATAGTTATTGGTGCTTAGCTTCTTGGGGCTGGTTTTAGTGAGGCAAGCCCAGGATTTATCTGGCCATTTGCCTCATTTTACTTGGCAATTTACCTTTGGCATGAGTTCAAGAGCATAAGAAAATAAATGTTTTTTGGAGACACAGGTTTCTCCTCTCCAGGGGAAGAGCCCCTTCGTGGCCAACTTAAAGTGAATTAAGGATGCCCATGGTGATTCACTGAGGTGTCACTGTAATGGCTGTCTAGTAGAATTCTGCACTTCTGAAAGATCCCCTCCCACAATGGCTTCACTCATTGTCCGTCACATGATTCATCAGGCATCTCTGAACATCTCCCAAGTTAAGAGACAAAGTGAGACATCAATGAGACAGACACATCAGCAATGGCAAACTAACACAACAAGCATCAGCCGGAGATGATGTGAAGGAAGATTTCTCTCTGGGAAAGAGATGAAACAAAGGGAGCTTCACTGGGGAAGGTACTGACTGCTTGAGCTGGGCGGTAAGGAGGATGGGAGACTGGCGAAGAAGAGAGCCTGAGCCAGAGAGTGAATGGGTGAGTGTATGTATGCCATGGTCTGCAGTCAAAGAAAATGTGCGGTGAGGGGACCAGAGAGCCTGTCTGTGCATCCAGCCCTCATCTCCTCAGATGATGCTCAGGGTAAGTGGATCAATGGAAATGCCCTTCCTCTGTTTCCTTTAACAAAGCTGAACCTCCTCCCTGAAAATCCAGCCTGAGGCAAAATAGGGCTGTTTTATAAAACAGTAATTGTGATACCATACCTTTTAGTAAATGGAAAACTATGACTGACACTGCTAATGGATGAGATAATGATAAATGAAAACTAGAGAGCCAACAGGAAGCTAAATTGTTCTTTGTCCCCTGGTTTTTTTTTTTTTTTTTTTTTTTATTTAAACTGAGTTTACCAGGGAAGATTACAGATCAAGCCTCAGCTGCCCAAAGTGCACACACATTTAAATAAATCCTACATCTTCCCCAAACCATCGCAGACCACAGGAGAACAGGAAAAATACACCTTTTCTTCATTTTCATTACAACCTCTCCAGGCATAACCACATCAGGCCCACCACCAGATGGTACTGTGGGAGACTTTTCATATGGACTTATATCGATTTTCTTAATAAAACACAGTTATTT